GGACGTGTATTCTGTGAAAGTAAAGCCTCGCACGTTTTGTCTACTATTGCATGTCTCTCTCTCTCTCTCTCTCTCTCTCTCTCTCTCTCTCTCTCTCTCTCTCTCTCTCTCTCTCTCTCTGTGTGTGTGCACAGGCTCTCTCTCTCTCTCTCTCTCTCTCTCTCTCTCTCTCTCTCTCTCTCTCTCTCTCTCTCTCTCTCTCTCTGTGTGTGTGAGTGTGTGTGTGCATAGGGGCGCTCTCCTTCCCACATCTCAATTACAATTCACTATCCCCTCTTACCCTCTCTCTCTTCCATTCTCCTCTTCACGATCTCCTACTAAACAACCGTAATTATAATTTCCAACGCGGCTTGCAGATACTCTTAGCGGAGCACTGCCAGACGTGACTGATCATAACCAAAGTACGTCCCACTCGTCTGGAAAGAATTCACCCGATAAGAGTGAAATTCCCCCCTCAACTCGAAAAGCGAACGCCGCATCTGGTGTCGGTTGGCGATTTGAGTCCACTAATCGCCGCGACAGCGCAGAAACTACGTCACCCATCCCCAACAGCGCACGCGGGACTCACTTCTGCTCCGCAATTCTGCACGCGCCACCACTCTTCTTGACTATTTTGATCAGAGTCCAGTCACTAATCCATCCATCCATCCGCACCCTCGCCAGCTTTCGCTCAACCTTCAGGTGCCTGATTGGCCCTCGAACGCACAAGAGATTTGCCCCTAGAGGCCCACGTTTCTGTACTCACCCCCAACCCCCCCCTCCTCGGCCCCCCGACTATATATTTCCTGTCTTCTTCATCCGTCCAAATTTACTTCTTACCTTTTGACAAAGCGCGGGTTAACGTGAGTGTTCTGCAACTCAGGAGGAGTAAAGAGTATATACTTAGACACTAGGACGTTTTAAACAGAACAGAATAATGAACGTTGCTGCGACCTAATGCATCATCCAGGGAATTTCAAGAGTTCTCGGCACAAACACGGATCAACTTTCATGCTGCGCCTTTCCACACAACCTTCTCAACGAGCCCAGTAACTAGCACTTCTTAGTATAGCATAGCATATGAAATTCAGCCTGTCCCATATAGTAGAGCATCTTCGCAACAAAGCAGCAGCGCTGGTCCTCTTCACTCGTCGTCCGTCCGCAATTCCACCCTCTTCTCCTCCCCTCTTCAACATCCTCAGACAAACCTCCTTTCGAGTAATGCATTAACTAGCGAACCTATTTTTAGCCTCGAACTCGTTCCCTCCTTCCCTTTCGCCCTTCACAAGAGGGCCAGACGACAGACACGCACGCACTTCAAATGCACTTAATTCCTGACCATGGCATCCTCGCATTTTCACAGGCAACGGATAACGTCTATTTGACGTCACCACTACCCATGTTCACAGCTGGCTCGTTCGTCCGCGCACTTCGCTCTAATCTCAGTACCAGTACTACCTCCTTGCCAATGAACACACCTCTCAAGGAACACACCTCTGCTTGCCCACGTCGCTTTCTTTCTTCAAAAGGGGGGACCGTTCTTTCGCGTATACTTAGATCGAATCCCGCTACCACGTTCCCAAGGAACGCGTCACTGCTTGTCCACATCACTTCCCATCTTGACAAAGGACGCTTTCCTCCTCCACGTTATATCATCTCATTAGCCTAATTCCTGTCCCTTGTATTCATAGTCCCGACTCGTCTGATATCTATACAAAGCGCGCCTTCTCTATCTTCTCCACGCCTGCCCACTTCACAAGGTGAACATTCACTCACTCACTTGCCTATCTACAACTCCTGCCCCCTGAACTGCCCATCAATCCTGATCCTCGGCCCCATATCCATCATCGTTCTAGTCTAGTTCCTCCGCCGTAAACCGTCCATCATCAGGAATCAGACATTCGTATTCCCTCCCAGTCCCGTCATCGTACAACAACCAAAGCACGCAATCCCACTCAAAGTGCTCCCTCTGTCCATGGACCGCCTCGCCGCCTTCACAAGACAAAGCTTTCGTTCACTTACTACATAAGCAACTGAGTACTTGTTAGCTGAATAACTAATTCCAGCCCATTTAGTATTCCAATGACGAGTATAATGCCTCGTCACTGTAATCACCATCACCTTCAGAAGGCGCGTGTTTTGTTTCTTCAAGGAACGAGGACTATCTGATTCCTGTTCGAAGACGCCTTCCACCTTCACCAACAGTCCATTCATTCGTCCACCTTTCCATCGGCAATATTCCCCCTCCCCCTCCCCCCTCCTCTCTCTCTCTCTCTCTCTCTCTCTCTCTCTCTCTCTCTCTCNNTCTCTCTCTCTCTCTCTCTCTCACACACACACACACACACCTTTAAGACGTGAACGCATAAGGTTCAGAGCCCCTGAGCTGTCATTCGTGCCAGCCTCTCTCTCTCTCTCTCTCTCTCTCTCTCTCGTCTCGCCGTCACCTTTAAGACCTGAACGCATAAGGTTCAGAGCCCCTGAGCTGTCATTTGTGCTAGACAAGCCCGAAACTGGCCCAAAGGCGCAGGCCAGATTCGAGCTAGTCTAGCACAGATTACAGCTCAGCGAGATGACCTTCTGCGTGATAATGGACGGCCACATAACGCGAACATACGGGGCGCTGAACTTTCCTAACTTGGACATCCAAGTCCATTCCAGGTAGACGACATAGGCAAGTGAAGTCGAACCCATTCGGTCTTTCCTCTTTCCTCTCCCCCCCTCCAAACCCCACAACCCCCCCCCCCCCCTCCCTTTCCCCCCCCGCCCTTCAACCGCCGTCCCGATACCTCGTGTTATGCTCATTACGCTCGACTACTAATCACCTATCCACAACTACTTCGTAAATCACCAATCAGTTCGTACGCACCACCTCCTGTACCACCAAACCTGTCATCATCTACACAAAGAGCTGGTTCCTACGCATTTATTTCCACGCACCAACTCCGACCGACCGTCAATATCCTTCCCAACTCCACATAAATCCATCCATGCCTTTCCCACTCCCACCGCAGCAGGTGCTGTAATAACCACCCTGTCGCCACCAAATGTGTCATCATCTGCGCAAGCTGGTTCTTACGCATTTCACGCACCGACTCCGAGCGGCAACATCCTTCCAACTCCACATAAGTCCATCCATCGCGTTCTCACTCCCACTGCGACAGGTGCTGTAATACCACCCTGTCATCACCACCCCCCGCGGCTCCTTTTCCCACGTCCTTCACTCTTCCCCTTCCCCCGCTATTAGACCAGATACCGATTCGAATTCCACCTCCGCAACCCCAACACTCAAGCAAAACATCTCCACCTTAATCGCCTTCACAAGGTGAGAGCCTCTTGCCGCGCCCGCCCGCAGTTTCCGCCTACCCGCCATAATAGCCTAACAACCTTTCCCGCCCAAATCCAACATGCTCTCCCGCCATACCCCTACAAACTCTCCCAGCAGAACCCAGCAAGCTTTCCCGCCACAGCACGACAAACTTTCCCGCCTCGGGTCAACGAGCTTTTCCTTCCAGCAGTACCAAAGCTTTCCCGCCACAGCACGACAAACTTTCCCGCCTCGGGTCAACGAGCTTTTCCTTCCAGCAGTACCCAGCAAGCTTTCCCGCCACAGCACGACAAACTTTCCCGCCTCGGCTCATCGAGCTTTTCCTCCCAGCAGTACACCCAGCAAGCTTTCCCGCCACAGCACCACAAACTTTCCCGCCTCGGCTTAACGAGCTTTCCCGCCACGGCCCAACAAGCTTTTCCTCCAACTTGCCACAAGCCAACATGTAGACGAGCCCATCATGTGCTAACAACTCATCCCTGTGCCCATCTTCCCCCGTCTATCTTCGAAACCAAGTTTGTAGGCATCACAAACCGGCACGTTCTGACCAAATGCTCTACCTCCCACTCACATAAGACAGACTTCATCCTGGTCCAGCTACAGCGGGTGCCTCTCTCTCTCATGAACCGGGGGTGTCGTGACCCCTGCGCTGACTTTGTGCGTTTCACCTTCCATTCTCTCTTCCGCAACAAGGCTCAGGTCCCTCGCTTGCCGCCGGGTATAAGCACCCAAACGCTCCCGCTCTCCCACTCCCTTCGATCGCTCTCGGCATCGTCCAAACAAATCATCGTCCTGGTCCAACAGCAGCACTAGCATCCGCGGTCAGTTGAGCCATCACCCTACCGTCGCTGGGGCCCTCAGATTAATACCACCGCCTCCCTTCACTCGCCTCGTTACAGGACGCCCAATCTATCTCTCTCTCTCTCTCTCTCTCTCTCTCTCTCTCTTTGCCCCTTATCCCTTTCTCCAGCACCTAGTCCTTCATATACCTCTGATACACGGCAACTGCTTCTTGACCCAGCGACGTCAGAATTTCCTCCATCCCCTTTCTCTATTTCCCGTCTATTCACTTTCCATAACACCCCAAGGGCATTCCTCTCTCTCTCTCTCTCTCTCTCTCTCTCTCTCTCTCTCTCTCTCTCTCTCTCTCTCTCTCTCTCTCTGTGTGTGTGTGTGTGTGTGTGTGTGTGTGTGTGTGTGTGTGTGTGTGTGTGTCTGTGTGTGTGTGTGTGTGTGCGCCCCCTTACTAACTCCGTCCATCGTCGAACGCATCCTCCATGCTTTAACCACAACAGCTGCTTCTGGAGGCCGACGCGTCACCCCTGCCTCCGGGCCCTCCAACGCTGCCGGGTCCATAACCAACCTTGATTCCAAACGATTCGTTCGATACGTCGAAAACGCCATCTTCAATCTTCTTGTAGATTTGTTTTGCAGTCTGAGTGAATGCCTCCTCCACGTTTTGCGCTGTCTTTGCTGACGTCTCCATGAAGAACAACCCATTCTCTCTCGCGAACGTTTCCCCCTCCTCTGTGCTCACCGCCCTCCTGTGCTGCAGGTCACACTTGTTTCCAATCAACATAATCGTCATGTTTGAATTCGCATGCTGCCGCGCGTCTTCCAACCAACTCGCGAGATGATTGAACGTTTCTCGTCTAGATATGTCGTACACAAGCAGCGCTCCTGCTGCTCCTCTATAGTACGCTCGTGTGATCGACCTGAACGACTCCTGCCCTGCCGTGTCCCATATCTGCAACTTTATTGCCTTGTTGTCGATGGTAATCATGCGCGCTCCGAACTCCACACCAATCGTTAGGTCATGGACCGGCTGGAACCGCTTATCGGTGAACTGCAAGAGCAGGCATGATTTCCCAACCCCTGTGTCGCCAATAATAATGTACTTGAATAGATACGCGTACGACATCTGGCAGGACTCGAGCTCTCGCGGAGGTGTTAAAAAAAAGTGCGCGAAGCAATCAATCAGTCGTCAAGAAGAAAAATCCGCGCTCGCAAAAGCAGGGCGCCGCGACCAAAAGCAATCAAAGAGGAGAAGGCGGGTTCGGCGGAAAGGCGGCGGAGAGCGCGAGCCAGTTACCGCCAGGGAGGCGGGGTTTGGCAAAAAATGCCCCAATCGCTCCGAAAGGAAAAGGCGGGGGCTGAAATCTGAAATGGCTGCCCAGTAGTTTTCGAAAATAGGGGGCTGAAGTAGTCCGGCGGGAAATGCTCTCTAGAGATGCTCTCTAGAGAGAAGGACGAAATCAATTTGATGAAAGAAGAAGCGACGGGATCGAGCTGACGTGGACAAACGTGTTTGAACTCAGGCCGACATGACGGGGTGCGTTAGCTTTCAGTAAGAACGAAGACGAGCAGAAAAGCGCGCGGAGATCGATGACCCGCGCGCTAAGCTGCTGCTCCACCCACGAGAAAAGGGGAAGGGGAATTCAGACAGTAAACTAAGGAAGGACGCTGCGTATCAGAAAAGCGCGCGGAGATCGATGACCTGCGCGCGTTAAGCTGCTCCTTGAACACACCCACAAGAAAAGGGGAATTCAGAGGGTATAGACAGAACGCCGCGTACCCTTCTGATTGTAGGGAATCGGGAACCAACCGCCGAAGAGAGGAGAGTAGAGGTGGTGCATTCCGCAGGGGGGTCGGGCATAAAGGCAGCCAATTACATAAGGCGGCCAATGGCGAGAAGCCGCGTGTGGACAATTGCAAGAGGGCGCGCACGCGCGAACGATGATTGAAAAGCGCGCATTTGCAAGAACAAGGCGCGCCCCACGATTATTTCAAAAACGTGCGAAATAACCCCACGACGCGCACTGAGAGAGGAGAAAAGGCGCGCACTGAGAGAGTGCAGCAGCTGACATGGATTCCTTCAGGAACGAGTACGTTCTTTCCTCTTTTCGAATCTGTAGAATTATATCAGCAAGTACGTAAGAAAAAAGACTATGTTCCTAGTATCGTATCGGGTACGAGGGTACGGGAATGGTGACCACTGTAGCTGCACCCACTCATGTATGACGTGGCTACACGCCCAGCGTTCACCCCTTCGTCTCTTGTCTCTTCCTTGCTTCTTCCTCTTTCAGTCATTCCTCCGCGTGTTCTGCTCAACTCAAAACTCGCCCTCCGACTTGCGACCCGCCAGCTCACCCTCCCCCTTCCTCCGGCCACCTGTGCTCGTTATTTGAGAAATTCAATCCGCGTAACCAATAGCCCCAAAGGGTACATATTGGTGAATGGCCCACCTCAAAAGTTGGGGGGGAGAGGGGTCTCTTCTTTTATCTTTTCCCTTCTTCCTCCCTATTTTCCCTTAGTAATAGTATTATATTTATTTATTATTTTGTATTAGTTATGTATAATATAAGAACTCTCAGCAGTTCCCTTCATTAATTCACAGACGCGAATGAGCGCGGGCTATCGCTGCTCTGATCCACGCCGTACACACGTGCTGTCGACTCGCGCTCGCCTGTTCACTGTGAGCGTAATGAGCGGCGAGCAGCTGCCTCAGGTAGTTCCAGCCGCGACGGATGGCATGTTCCGCAACGGTGCCGGTGGAAGAGCGCGAACAAGCCTCAGGGCAACTCGACCGTAAACATCGCCAGATTCCCTCCAAAAAGTGGGAGGCCTCAGCTTCTGCGGAGGGGAGGCTCGTGTGAACGACTCCTAAGCTTCATGTCCCACACCCAATGACCCAAACCCTGAGGTCCTCGGAATTGACACACGACGGCCAGTTCAGTTCTCGGCGTCCAGTGTCGCGTGGGGGCCGCACAGGATGGAAAGGTCGAGCGGAAAGGGAAACAAGGGCACTGGTCATACCGACCCTCCTTCGGCACCTTCAAACGGCACCAGCTCGACGGGCACCACCACCAGCAGGAGGTCAGGAGCCTTAGACGCCGCTTGAGCCGTGTGACGCTATCTGACGGTCTGTGACGTTCCCCTACCGTCTGGCATTAGCACTCAAGCGGCCTCGAGACATGTAGGGTATATATATCTGTTATTGCTTGTTAGGGCGTGATCTGGCAAGGGACATGGTGCTGTGACATTCTTCTGCTTTCTTTTTGGTGTCCAGGATTGCTGTGATGGCTGTCACCGCGAGGACATGGGTTGTCCCCCCTTCCCATGTAGGGGGTATAGTTACAGCCAGCCTAAGGTCTGCCAAACCGGGGTTGCTGGCCCCATGCCCACTCACCTTTCTGTGGATGCAGAAAGGAGGACGACAGGTTTCCAGGCCTGAGCCATCAGGCCTGAGGTCCTGCTTTTCTGGCCACTCATTGTACCATGCAAAATTAAAATAAAAAATAAATAATTAAGAACTCAAAAAAATTAAAAAACTTTCATAATCCTTTTTGACAAAAGTATGTCGTTACCAGTACAGATAACATTCGGGATTCTTCCTGTTGGTGGCGCGACAGGCACAGCACCGCTTCCTTCTCTTAGATCACGAGGTCGTAATCTCCCCTTCTCTAGCCGGCAACGTGTTGACTGGCTTGCCTATTTTCGCTGGAATACTGATTTGTATTCTGCGGGAGCATGGCATAAAAAGCAACTGAGGCAGCTAGAGACTGCCACCGCAACTGAGCGCTTTGAATTACAGCTGAGAGGTATTGACCAACAGCTGCTCCAACCAGGTAATGATCCACTTTCTGTTGCTGGAGTCGTTTATGCTGTTGTGCATATACCCTCTGGGTGTCTGTATGTTGGCCACACAATCCATACTGCACGTCAGCGTTTGAAGGAGCATTGGCATATGCAACATTCTGCTGCTGATTATCGTCATCGGCATCTCTATCACGTTGTGCGACAGCACTCTCCTTTCAATTTTATTGTTTGGCCGCTTGAATGCATTGATCGTGCGCTCTACATTAACGATCATGGTGAGATTGATCATGCCCTCTTTTGGCGGGCAGCCTCACCTAGAGAAGGCTTCTGGGTCAGACGGCTGCGTACCTTACACCCTTCGGGCTTCAGTGCAGTTCTGGCTATGTCTCGATTACCGCCTGCTCGACGGCAGCCACGCCCCGATCGTTGGCGGCAAGTTGGTCCTGCCTCTGCTGCTTCTCCTCACCCGTCTCCACCTGTTGTATCCTCTCGGGCCTTTACCATTGATACTCAGGCCCTCAACTTGCAGTAAGCACAGTGTTACAACGGTTATTAACGTTAGGCGCAGCGGGTACGTGGTCCGAAGTTGTTGCTTCCATTCAGCGGGCTACGCCCGCTTGGCGCCCTCGCTTGCTGCAATGGTTGTATATAAATGTTTCTAATGTTGACATGATTGCGGACGTCTGTGAACTTGAATGCCTTATTCGGCGATTTCAACATGTCCGACAGCGATATACTGCACAGTCCCGTGACACCTTCAGAAACTTTATCAGGATTGTGCATATGCACGAGATCCTGAAGGCCACTAAGTTACACCATGTGTTGCATTCTCCGGATGTGTGTGCATTACACCCTGACCCTCGGGCAGACCCTCGGGCAGGCAGCACTATTCGCATTAATGACAAACTTATACCCGCAACAATGGTGCAATTTTGTAATTTTACGGAAGTTATCTAGAGTGTCACTCCGGTGTTGCGCCTACCTTCTGTTGCTGATTGTCCTTGTTGTCAGGCCTTTCCTAACTGCACTGATCTAGTTGACGACCATCATGATGTTGTTTTCGCCAACTATGATCTGATTCCGGATGCTAACCTTCGTCGCTTGTTCTATGAGGGCTCTAAATATCGGTTGAATGGGATAATGGGGGGTATACTTGAAGCACTGGCTGTTGGTATTGATGAGTATATTGTTGCATATCGTCGTCTGACAGCACGACAATCATGTGTTGCTACCCTAGCCCCACAATTGACTCCTTGGCGTGCCGCAGTTTTGCGTCACTGTGAGTGCAATATGGTTGCCGCATCTCCTTTGCGACAACCTCACTTTGTGACACGCACATACTGCCCTACGTCAGCTCCAAAAATCCTTATTGTTCGTGTGGAAAAAACATCGCGTAATCTGGCTATTTGTTGTAAAAACTGGTATCGTTTTAATCTTTTTGCTCATCTTGACAGTCCTACGTATTCTCGGCCCATTGAAACAGCGACCGACATTTTGAATAGCCATGCACTTTGAAACAATCATTGGAATTATCCTCATGCTGACACATTGTCGTATCTTTATTGCGCTCTTAAGGCCCATAAGTCTCCTCCCACAGTTCGTACTATTTTTGGTATCACTGACTGCAACAATTTTTCCTCTTTTTTTCCTCATACGGCCCAGCGGCGTGACCTGCGCCCCTCCAACAGTGTTTGCATCACCGACCGCCTCACAAGCCTGTTGCCAGTAAAACGCCCACATCAGCTCGTTTGAATGCGGCACTTCAAGGCCTCATACAAACTCTTCGCAAAAAAAATAATTAACTCTTCCAATCCGAAGGTATTCGACGATGTTGGATTGTCCAGAGTAGTGATGAGGTCATGCTTGACGTAAAAAAAAATAAAGTTTCTCTCCGAGGTTTCGCCCCTCATACAGTCGATTTCACTACTATGTATGTTATCTTTCTCATAAACGGATTTTTAACAATATTCCTAAGGTCGTTGATGAGGCACATGTCTATGCTCTTGCACAATCACGACAACATACACGAACACACTCATCCTGTGTTGTTCTTCGTATGATGGTTTGTTGACCGCGTGTAGGGGAATGGACTACGGATACGGGATTTGACACTTTTTTATGTTTGACATTCTTTAACATCTTCAGTTATTATTACTAATACATATCTATGTACAATGGATGACCTTGTTCGCCATCAAGATGTCAGTATTCCTATGGGTACAAACGTTGGTCATGAGATTGCTAACCTCATACTCTATTGGGATGAGGCGCAGTACGTGAACAACCTGCAGCGTATGGATCCCTATGATGCAAGTTACCGATATGCTTCCACTTATTTGTTAATTGATGATGTTCTTACCTTTGGTTGTCTATCACCATCGCCAGCCCATTATGGTCTTGAATGGAAGGAGCCTGCTAAAGCGGTGGAGGACGGTCCGGAGGCCAACTCATATCGACGACGGGACTAAAAATGCTAGGTGGTCACTAGCAAGGTCGGTCGCGAGCAGAGAGAGAGAAAATGGAGAAAGAGAGGCATAGAGGATACGCGTCTATACCAGATAAGAGAGAACGAGGGTCCGTTCTTCGTCGGTTGATGTCAGCTTGACTTTCACACGAGGTGTAAGAGTACAAGCTAAGTCTCATATTTTTCGAGGGAGGACGAGAGTTGGCGTGCATGGATGGCGGCCGAGAGACCAATTCGCGATGAAGAGAAGGTGGAGACGTAGTACAATAGCAGTCTATAGGAGAGAGCGGACAAGATACATTCGAGAATGATGAACGGAGACGTGCATAACCCCTATTTTCTGTTGAACAACGACCAGAGAGTAACCATTGACTTATGCTAATAAGCCTGCTTTGAAAATGGATGACACACTGTCGGGTCTATGTTGGACGTGGTTTTCTTTTTTGTTTTCGAGGTTGAGGTTGTTCGCTCTGAGAAGTTTGTCAAGTCGGGTTGTACTTCTTGATCATCAAGCGAATTATCGGTCGGGGTATGGTCAACGGATCTCTGAGCAAAGAGGGAAAGAGACACTTATAATGGACGGAATGACTGACATATTTTGTGAGCCCGATGAAGGTAATGGATGTTGAGTGATTGGATCATTGTTTTCTCATCTTTTGTTGTTCTGCTCGATAGGCAAGGATAAAGCTTTACTGAAAAGAGTGGTATATCGCTTAGCTAAGTTCCTTCTTGATGGGGATTAGTTGAAGGCATAATGAAAAATAAATTTTTGAACTTCTCCTTGCTAAATTGTTACCTCGCTTGATAGGCACTAAAAGTGAAATTGCATACAAAGACTTACAATATTGCCCGTGATAGTATATGATGCTCTCGGTAATCAATAATGGGTGTCTGAGGCTGAGGTCGTAGTTACTCTCGTTGACATGCCATTCCCTACCTGAGCGGGGATATCAGAGTGGAACCTTGATGTCCCTTGAGTAGTGTGTAAACAAGACGGTCCCGCAATCCCAATTGAGACCGTTCCTGCTATTGATACGCGAGGCTCCTTATGCAGTAGCCAGAGGAAGACTGTTCCAAACGTCATCATGATAAGCATGCTAAGACGGCTACAAAGAATATGAAAACTACGATGGACTG